CATGAAAATGTAATCTACATTTTCTAGAATTTTCATTCAGAATGTGCATCATTCAAGCAAAAGTTGCCATCAAGCAATCATATAACAACAGATGCTGGGGGATTCAATATGGCAGAATACAAGAGGAGTCACATTGGAGCTCCTCAGAGAAAATCCACTAAAAACACAGGTAATTGGAAGAAAAGGAGGGACACACATCCTGAGGCCCAAATCAATCTAAAATAAGAGATTTGTAGATCAAACAAAACGTAAGCATAGGACTATGTAAAACTATAATCCAGTGCATAGGGCTGCCCATTGTTTTACTGTCTGCAGGTTCAGAGCAGAAACTGTCATTCCCAAGAAGTTCGCCAAAAAAAAAAAAAAATGCGGAAACTCAAATGTGTGGCAAACTCAATCTACACAAGATAGATCTGATAATAAGGTCCCCTTGCCTCTTTTTATTTCCTGAAAAAAGGAGGACACTGCAGCCTGGCAATAAATTTGGCTGGCACACACAGTGTACTCTGGTGAGTGACTGATTCCTGCTTGCCTGTGGAATCATAGGAGGGCATTCCCAGTCTACTCAGCACCTGCCTGACTAGCCTACTTTTCTGCTCAGTTGCAGACAAGCTCACCCAGTCTGCTGGCACCTGCCCTAGTTAAGAGAAATCCAACAAAAAGAGATAGCACTTGTAAATATATATGCACCAAATACAGGAGCACCTATCTTCCTAAAACAAATACTGCTGGACATAAAAGACCAAATAAACACTAATGTAATCATAGTGGGTGACTTCAATAACCCCACTTTCTCCAAGAGATAGATCAACTAAACAAATTTTAAAAATCAATAAAGACATATCAGAGCTGAACCACATCCTTGAACATGACGGACTTAATAGATGTCTACAGAATTTCTACCATTCTACAACAGAGTTCACTTTATTCTCAGCAGCACACAAAACTTTCTCCAAACTATATCACATCCTAGTCCACAAAGCCTAATTAAGTAAATATGAAAGAATCAAAATCACCCCATGTTTATTATCAGAAAATAGTGCAAAGAAACAAAAAATCAATGACAAAAGAAACTAAGAAAATTTAGAAATATCTGGAAACAATAGTGCACTCCTGAATATCTTATGGGTCACAGAAGAAATTCAACAAGTTCTGGAAGCAAAGACAACACCAGTACAACATACCACAGTTAAAGAAGTCCTAAGAGGGAAGAAACAACAACAATTCAAGCCCAAATCAATATTAACAAGGGAAAACATAAAGTTCAGAGTGGAAGCTAATGAAATTGAAACTAAAAAAAATACAAAGAATCAATAAACTAAAGAGCTGATTTGTTCATTCTTAAGAATAAACAAAATAGATAAACCCTCAGTGAACATTACCAAAAGAAAGAGCAAGAAGACTCATGTCAGTGCAATTGGAAATGAAAAAGTTGACATCATAATGGACACTGTTCAAATACAGAAGATAGGAAGTACTAGGACAAACTGTATTCCAACAAACTGGAAAATCATGAAGAAATGGGCAGATTCCTAGATGCATGTGAATGATCAAAACTAAAAAAGGAAGACATAAAAATTTTGAACAATCCAATAACCAGCAAGGAAATTAAAGCAGTAATGAAAAACTTATCAACTAAAAAAAGCCCAGGACCTGATGGATTCACTGCTGAACTCTGTGGAACATTTGAAAATGTTATATTATAAATACTTGCCAAACTCGCCAATGAAACTCAAAGGGAATCACTGCTTCCAAACTCATTTCTGGAAGCCAGCATGACTCTGACCCCTAAACCAGAAAAACACCCAACTAAAATAAAAACTACAGGCCAATCTTCCTAATGAACGTAGATGGAAAAATCCTCAGTAAGATATTGGCAAATAAAAGGCATCATATCATCAAAGGCTCATCTACATCACAGCCAAATGGGTTTTATCCTAGACATGTAATAATGTTTCAACATATGCATATCAATAAATGTAATATATGACACAGACAGAAGCAAGGACAAAAAACACATGATCATATCAACTGATGTGGCAAAAGCTTTTGACAAAATCCAATACCCCTTTGTGATAAAATCTTATAAAAGCCATTTATGAAAAATCAATGACAAACATCATATTAAATGGGCAATAACTGAAAGTTTTCACTGTAAAGTCAGGAATTCCCATTATCACTACTTCTGTTCACCATAGGGCTGAAAACATTATCCAGAGCAATCAGGTGAGAGAAAGAAATAAAAAGGATACAAATAGGAAAGAAACAAGTCAAATTAGCAGTATTTTCAGAAAACCTGATACTCCTCTTAGAAAACCCAAAGAATTTTTAAAAACTCTTAAAATAACTTAATTTCAGCAATGTAGCAAGATATAAAGTCACCACACAAAAATCAAAAGCATTCATGTATACCAATTATGCTCTCAAGGAGAAATTGGGAACACAAAACTATTCACAATAGCGTCAAGAAAAATTAAATAATTAGCAATTAACCTAACCAAGGAAGTAAAAGGCCTCTACAACAAAAGCTATATTATTCTGAAAAAGGAGATAAAAAAGGGCATGAGAAAATGAAAATATGCCTCCTATTCCCGGATAAGCAGAACCAGTGTTTTCAAAATGGTCATACTCCCAGCAGTGACACACAGATTTAACACAATCTCAAACAAAATAGCAAAAACATTCCTCACAGAACTAGAGAAAACAATACTAAAATTCATATAAAACCAAAGAAGACCAAGAATAGCAAGAGTAATCCTGGGCAACAAAAGCAAAGCAGGAGGCATCACAATACCAGACTTCCAGTTATACTGCAAAGCAACAGTGATAAAAATGGTATAGTATTGACACAAAACCAGACATGTGGCTCAGCAGAACAGAATAGTGGATGCAAAAACATCCCCAGACACATTTAGGTATAACATTCTTTCAGTATCCACTCTTTAGAAGTTTTAATGAATATAAATTTCTGTACCTTTCAAAAATAGATACACTATTTAAACAGTCATGTAAACAGTCATATATATTCCTTCCACTTAAGAATATATGTTGAAATTTTGCATGCAAAAAAATTGTATATGTCACCAGATGTGTTGTTGGATGCTTATAATCACAGTTCCTCAGGAGATGAAGGCAGGAGTATCTCTTCTTTGAGGCTAACTTCAGCCACTTAACCATATCTTGTCTCAAATTAAAAAAAATGGGGGGCCAGGGACATAGCACAGTGGCACAGCTCCTACATGGCAAACGCAAGGTCCTGAGTTCAATTTCTGGCACAAAAAAAATTAAAGGGCCTAAGGATATAACTCAGAGGTAGAGTACTTGCCTAGGATGTGCCAGACCCTGGATGTGATCCTCAGAACCAACAAAAAAGTGTAGATGTCCATCAGCATTTTCAATGGCTGCAGATAGACCTTCACTGTTCAGCAACTGAAGTTACATCTTCCAAATATTTAGACATAAATATGTGAATATCCATCTATCTTTTTGTTCTAAGCCCCTCATACACTATTTAGAGCCATTTTTGCAAAGTATAGAAGAAATTTTTATTTATTATATAAACATCATAAATTATACAGAACTTTTTTAAAAAGAAAAACATGAAAATGCCTATCAGTATAACATCCATAAAAAACTACTAAGAGTCTCAGACTATGCACAAATGACCAGGCGTATACATAGGTTATTTAAACGTATACTTTTTCATAAAATGTTTTTTATGTACTTTTATAGCGTATTCTTCACACAAGATTATATGCTGACTTCTTGCATATACATTACTGTAGATGTTCATCAACATTTTCAATACATATACATATTTGTTTAGCCAAGCATCTATTTTGGACACTTGGGTTGTTTATACTTTTTTCACCTTCACAATAATTGAAAGATGCACAGCTTTGTACAAGCCGATTATTTGCTTAGTTTCTAAAAGCAAACCTCTACAAATGAAATTACTGGGTCAAAGGGCATGCCCATGTTAAAGGGTACTTGGAGCATCTGTCTCAATAGACCTCATGCTTTCCGTGTTCCTCATCTCCGTTTGAGAGTTCTCCTCCTCCCATACTCTCACCAACCCTATGGCATGGGAGACAAGTGGGTCTTCTTCTCTGTGGATCCCAATAGCACTCTCTATGCTTCCATAAAGCCTCCCTCCTACCAACTTTATAAAAGAAATTCCTACAAGCACTAACATTCATGCTTTCTTCCACTAGCGTTTCTTACTATTTCAAAACATAACTCTTATTCACTACATAGACACTAAAGCTCACCAAGAAGGAGAACATGTCCCTATCATGTGCCCCCAGGACCCTAAAATAAAATTAACCCTTTCTTTACGTCTTCATAAAAACTTGTAGTGGAATAGACCGCTTGCTTCCTTCCTGTCCCTACCACTCCCAGCCACCAGTGAAATTCCATGCCTTTCTCATGTCCTGCCAGGTCTATGGTAGTTAACTTCCTAACTGGATTCATCTGCAGTCCCCACTCCTGTCCCCACCCCAACTCAGACCCATCCTACACACAAAGCAACCATACTGTTTTCCTTTCATCCCGTCACTCCTCTGCTCATGAAAGGCCTTGTTGCCTCCCAGGGCCAGAGAGTGGTAATATTCAGACACCCCAGTTCAGCAACTGGAAGTGCTCCAAGAAAAGGAGAACAGGACGTCCCTCAAACACTGACTCCACCCGCATCCCCCTCCTCTCCTCTCCATACTCTCTACTCCAGGCAGACCAGACTTCTCTCTGGAGCAAAATTCCCACTTCTTTGCCTTTCTTCCATCACTGTTCCTCTTCGAATGCCCTCTGCCCTTTTGCATCTTATTCTTTAAGCCCGGCTTATTTCAGGTCTCCCCTCCTCTGTAAAATTTTCCCTGAGCACCTTTGTGTGCAGCAGTTTTGTTGCCTTGAAGCACCTTTGGTAACCATGTCCAAGGATTGGAGGCCCCTGATTCCATACTTTTTCTTTCCATATATCCTGTCTTTCCAAACACACACAATGCTTTTTTTCTTCTACTCAAAATACAGAACTTTATTGATTAAACAGGAGTCTTAGACTAACAAATATAAAACAATACAAAAGAGTATATTTTATTCATAATGTACATTTACTTCACTGTCCGTGTATGTAAAGTAAACAAAAAATTTCAATCTAAGCAGCAAGATAAAATCAATAAATGTTTGTGCAAGCTCTAATATTCACTTGGTGTCCTTAAAATGGTCCGGTCTGAACCCAACATCAATGACTATTAATAATCTGTGGTATTTATTATTCCAAAAGAGCAGCTGACAGGATCTCTTTGCCATATATGCATTTAAAAACACACTGTTCCCCAGTGGGAACTACAAATTTACATCAGTATTGCTTGGGACAGCAATTAGAGTTTGGTTAATACTTTCAGGACTTTTACTTTCACCACTAGATCATTATGACTGGCTAATGCTCTGATTTTCTTAACACATACTCCAGATTCTTTAAATAAAAAGAAAAGTGAACTTCTGCTAAATTCTTTTCTGGATGATGCGAGCCCTTCAGTTTTTATGTTGTCATTTATATTCTCAAAAACGGTAAGGATATTAAGAAGAATCTCTCTATCCCATTCTTTATTAAAGAGGGAAATCAGCTCTGACGGTACTTTACAACTGACCAGCTCTCTTGTCATGGCTGGGTTTTCAGTAAAGTTTATAATTAGTTTCATAGTCTGTATCTTGGTGAAGTGATTTCCCAGGAATAATAAAGCAAACAAATCTGGAAAAGAATAGGAAAGCAGATGTTGGTAATGATTGGTCACAGTCATGTTTGTTAAAAGTCTTAGTCCAGCCATCTGCACAGCCGAGTCCAAGCGACAGATCATGGTATCATCACATACTTGACTGATATATGTCTTAATCTTGCCCTGATTTTCAGTATTCACACTCAGGTTATTCAGGGCATTGTAAGTCTTTTCCCTAATAACGGGGTCTTTAGTTTTTATCAATTTTGCAATAACTGGGACACCACCCAGTTCACGTATAGCATTTTGATTAAATGAATATGCTGCATTGTTACCCAAAGTGACCAAGGCTACTTCTTGAATAAAAGGATCATTTGTTCTCTCCAGAATGTTAAGGACCTTTTGAAGATCAGGAGTACTTAGAATATCATCAATTTTATAGGGAAAGTTGAATTTGCCCCTGCGGACAGGCCATGTTGTGGGTAGAGCCCTAGTGCTCTTACTTCGAGATTTTCCCTTGGATTTTCCATTTGCCCTGCTCCCAGCCCTAGCTCCACTCTTACTGGGATGGCAGCTTCCACCTCTGCCTCCCGGGCAGGGCAAACTTGATGCAAGGGTCCTATTCCCAGAAATGTTACCAACCCTGGCCCCTTTGCCCATTTTTGCACTTGCCTGTTCCTTCAAGGTGTTGAAAAGGGCCTTGGCCTTCGCTTCTAGGCCACCTCCACTCGGGGATCCACAATGGGCCTCCTTCTTTACACCCAGCCCACTCTCAAGTCCCACTCTCACCTCAGCCTTGGCCTTAGTGTCACTCTGAGGTCTGACTCCAGCCCCCACGTCAACATTAGTCTTAGCTCCTTGCTCAGCCTCGACCCCAGTTTCTGATATATCACTAGACTCCTCCTCATCATCCCAGATTTTCTCATTCGCATCTTTTCCCCAGGTCAGTCTGTATACGCAGTAGCAGGCACCAGCCCCAATGACCATGCCAGCGGCTACACAGCCAGCCTCCCTTGTGCGGCCCATGATATAGCTGGAGGGAATCCTTCAACCTGGGCACCGAGCACGCTTGCTCCTGCCCAGAATGCTCCTTGTAAGGGATGAAGTCTTCAGCTGCTGCTGGCAGACTGCTGCAACTGCAGACGCAGGGCAATCTAGAAATAAAGGAAAGATTTCCAGCTTTGGGCTTCTCCTTTTGTGTCTTTGTATGCACACAGACTAAACCACAAATGTAAAAACATGAGCTTATTGGCCCAGACTCAGAGCTCGGTATCAAGATCACTGATTTCTTTACTCAATTGGGAAGCTAACTTGATAAATTTTCCCCACATTCCAACCTCACATTCTACCACCCTACCCAGAACATCAAATTTAAAAGATTTCAAAAGTTCCCTGCCACCTCTGTCCTTCAAGATGTCCTAGGGCAATGAGGTCATGAAATATACCTGAAGAGATCCAAGCAGTTGCTTCCTTCTCTTTCTAGCTTCCAAGGGCACTGTACCCTGTAGACCTGCAGACAAAAGAATAGAGAGGGCTGTGCTAAGAGTTCAGGAAGTAAGTAGACCTAACCAAGGATAGGATGCTCATCCTGAATCCTTGGCTCTAGTTCCTTCCTTGCAGTTCCCCACCTATTGATCCCTCTTATGCTTAGAAAGTTTTGGCTTTGAAATTAATTTCCTCTCTCCCTCTCCCCCAGTGATCCACTCCTTCAACTTTCCACCCACCACTCCACCCCCATCATTCACTTCCTCCAGAGGTGACCACCATATCCCCTTCTCTGAAACAAAATGGGTAGAGGAGTAGTATTTAGATGCCAGATTAGCCTGAAATGTGAAATGTTCTCACGCAGGCCACCCTTGCCTCTGCCATCCTCACCGTCTAAATCAAAGGTATGGGGTCAGTTTTCCTCACCCCACCCCACTAATTATACCAGTTTCCACTGCTGGAGAGCAATTTTCTTCCTCCCTCATCTGTTTCTGTGTCCACCAAACCAAAGGACTGACCAGCTCTGGACATGAATGTTAGGTGGGAGGACCAACACCAAAGACACTGTACCCCAAACAGTAATTTTCAGTAACATCCTCCCCACCTCCATCCCAGGACTCCCATGACACCAGCCACTTCCTTCCCGTATCTAGCATCTAGAGAGCACTTCTTTGGCAACCTCCAGGTGTAGAAAAGGAGGGAAAGAGGAGGACTCAGAGGAGGTCTATAATCCCTATCACAATCACCATCATCCTCCACCCCAGGAGTTCGCAAACCATCATCCTCACTCTCACTCTCACCTTCTTGGTCCTGGACAATTTTTCTCACTTTTGGCTCTGAAGTTTGTACTGGTCATGAGGGCCAAGATCCACAGAGACAGGGATACAACCAAGACGGGAGGCTCAGGGAACAGAGAAGCACTTCAAAGGGTCCCCAAACCAGTTCTTCCAAATTCGGGGTCCTGGCTGTCAGATACATTTTACCTTTTTATCTCTTACCTTAGTCGCACTTCTCTGGACTCCACTGACAAAAACGCTCCAGCTAAGCGCGTGTTCCCCACTCCCCATCCCATTTTTGCTGTGAAGATAGGGACTTTTACTTTCACCACTAGATCATTATGACTCGCTAACGCTAATGCTCTGATTTTCTTAACACATACTCCAACATAAAAACTGAAGGGCTTGCATCATCCAGAAAAGAATTTAGCAGAGCATTAGCATTAGCGAGTCATAATGATCTAGTGGTGAAAGTAAAAGTCCCTATCTTCACAGGCTGACCGTGCAAAAACCAAGCCCCTCAAGTGCCTTCAGTTATGATTGGAACCAGTGGAAAGGAGGGAGGAAGGTGGAGCCAAGGAGTGCAGAAAAATCTTAGCAGTTAAAAAAACTAAAAAGATCAGATGATCTCTTCTGTCCCACTCTGTAACGGAATCCACCTTCATCGTTAACCATTTTTCATGTTGGCACTGTCACATCCTTTTTTACAAATGCACACACACACACACACACACACACACACACACACACACACAGGAAAACTGCTGAAGAGCGGATAAGAGTCCCAAGTTAGGGAGGGTCCTCAGCCATCCCCACCCTTCCGGGGCCTGCGGAGCAATCTCAGCTTAGCACTGACCTGCAGAGATTCAGAGTAGATTATTCCTTTGCTGGAATGGTACAGCGCTCTACTGAAAAACAAGGGGAAAGACAGTCGCACATCCCAAGTTTCTGGCTTGGCAGATGAACCAGTACACAGAACACCAACTTATCACCTGCCCTCTCTGATTCAAATCTCTGGCATAACAAAGTTTTACTCCCTCCTAGCGCGGGATCTCCCCTGGACTCCCACCTTCCAAGGTCTACCTTTTTTGTTGTTGTTGTTACGAAAGGACCAGGAATAGTGCAAGGAAAATAAAAGGGAAAAGGCTGTGTACCTCTGGTCTCCGCCCTCCACTGCCCGCAAGGCAGGGATCCCCAAGCAGCGCCCGTTCACAAACAGACCTGCTAGGAGCCACGCATTTACCTCCTCCTCTGCCTACCACCGACCACAGGCTCACCAGATCTCTGGGTAAAAATAGGGAGCGGGCAACTGGACCACACGAAGACCAGGATTAAAAGGACATCTGCATACGTCAGCTCCTGGTCACGTGAGGGCTACGTCACCTCTGAGATCAGACCCAAGTTACCACTCCCACCAGCAGTGGGCTGGAGCCAGCCCTCGCTCTTCTCTCCCTGTCACATCACCTACCGCGTTCGTTCGTTTTTCCTTTTTGCAAATCACAGAGACTGGAAGTGCCTTCTCCCTGCCACTGGAATTTGCCTTTTCTTTGGTTAACACAGACAGACTGCATGTCCCATGTCCATTGTTCCCATGTCCATTGCCTTCTGATTTTTCTTTGAGGAGGAATAATTTTGTATTTTCTTTACTCCCAGTCCAACTGCTTTTTCCCCTCCACTTCCCCACCCTCTCCCCGCACTCTTACACCAAATGGGGGTCAACATTTCAGAAAAGGAGATAAATAAGTGGAAGTGTCTTGCTTTCTTGAACTTTCCTCTTTGTTTATTTGTGTTTGTTTGTTTGTTATTTGGGGTTTTTTTTTTCTGGGATTGGAGATTGGGGATTGATCTCACTGAACTACATCCTCAGTCCTTTTTTATTTTTATTTTTGTTTTTTTTTTTTTGAGACAGGATCTTGTTAAATTGCCCTGAGCTTGAACTTGTGATCCTCCTGCCTCAGCCTCTGAGAATGCTGTGATTACAGTACTAGGATTGCTACCCGTTTCTTGTTAAATTTTTAAAGTCAGTAGCACATTACTTTTACATTGAGAAAACAAAGTGATGCCCTTTTCATTTGAGTGAACAAAAATTTAAGTGGGAGGGGCAAACTCAACAAACGTCACTAATTTCATTATATTTATTTGTAACACAAGAAAAATATTTCTACTGGTTACAGCCAAATAGCTTTCAAAACATACTAACTTGTTTTAAAGTTGAAAACTGGAATTTGTTACATAACCTATGAGTTAGTCCAAGAAGAGATGACCGGTTGTCTAATGTGGGCCCTGTTAACACAAATGACTCATTTACTTTTTCTACTATTGGCTCAACTTGCAATTTGGTAAAATAAAAGCAAAACAATCCTGTCTTGTTTGGTTAAAGCAAAGCATGTATTTAAGTTCCCAAAGACTTGGCTGACTTCTGTGTGAACCCCTCCTGATTTGATGTCTGCTCTGAACATCTGTCCCTGGGTTAGATTCCAGTCTAATAAAGCAGAGGCAGCTGAGGACCAGAGATGTAGATACTGTTGGATATTCCCTACCCTATAAAGAAATAAGGAATGTGCTACCCTCAAACCCTTCCCACATTCCAGAGCCTCTAATTCCCTGTATTCAGGCACCAATCTGTTATTCAATACAAAAATATATTAGGATTGGTGACCAAGATAGCAAATGTTGCCTTTACTCAGATAACTAAACTGAGTAAATACCGTTCCTTCATTCCCTTTCCCAAATTCTCAAGAGTTAACTGAAAGATACCTAGAAGGGACTGATGTTCCCACCTACCTCTCTGCTTTTATTCATGGTGCCACTAATACCACATGACCTGAGAGATGCAACCTGTTCGGCCTCTCATTTCCAGCCTCTTCAACTCCAGGGTACCCAGGAGGAATAGAAACCTATTGCACAGTCACTTCCTGCCAATCGACATCCATCTTTGATGGGCCTCACTGGTCACTCTAAACCTAGACTAAGTGTTGTATTAAACTTGTGTTCATAATTGTGTTCACTTGATTGACTGAGTGATTGTACCGGGAATTGAACCCAGGACCTTGTGCATGGCAAGCAGGCATTGCACCAGTGAGCTATATCCCCAGCCCATGTGTTCACTTTAGTAGGGCAGGAAATTATAGCCATCATTGCATTCTTACATACATGTCTAAAGAAAAATCCTTAAAACTACTCTCTTAGACAAAAAGATATAACACCCCACAATAGAAATAGAATTAACATCTCTCTTCTTCTCCCGCCTCGCCTTCTGTCTCTTTCCCTCAATTATTACAAACTTTTTATTTCTTTAAACACATGTAAACAGTATAAAATATACAAGAGACTGAAAGTGTCCTTCAATGTCTGTTCTAGCTCCAAACACTTTAATAATCTCCACCTTTCTTCATACAACATGATGGGTATGGGTACACAGATAGGTCAAGTTCCAAGTTACACAATACACAGAACAAAAGAATTGACATTAAATGTAGTACTTAAAATAAATCTGCACTTTAATTTGAGGCCTGATATCTTTGAAATGTAGTCTTTCTACAGGAGAGTAATATCCAGAGTATATGAGGAACTCAAACAATGCAGCACCAAAAACAGAAAAAGAAATACTCCAATTTTTGAAAAAAGACCTGAATAGACATTTTTCCAAAGAAGGCATAAAAATTCCACAAGATGTAGGAAATATATTCAATAAGGAAATGCAATCTCAAAACCACAAGATGTAGGAAATATATTCAATAAGGAAATGCAACTCAAAACCACAATGAGAAATCTACTACGAATGGTTGTTATCAAAAAGACAAAAAATAAAAGATGTTTGGAAGGATATGGAGAAATTGGAACCCTCGTACAGTATAGTATGAAGATTTCTTCAAAAATTAAAAATAGAACTACTGTATAATCTAGCAGTTACATTTCTAGATATATCTCCAAAATTATTAAAATCAAGATCTCACAAAGGTATCTGCACTCCCATGTTCACTGCAGCGTTACTCATAATAAGCAATGGGAACAATATAAATAGACACCAACAAATGGAGAACTATAACTTTTTTCAAAACCCTCCCAATCACTACTTGAGCTCCTCCATGACATTTGTTTGTTTGTTTGTCTGAGACAAGGTCTTGCTATGTAGTTCAGGACAGCTTTGAAATCACTATGTAGCCCAGGCTGGACTACTGTCTCAGCCTCCCCAGTGCTGGGATTACAGGCATATACCATCACACCCGGCTACCTCCATGACCTTTTAACCATACATCTCTAAAGAACAAGTGTGTAAAATTATGTACCATAAATGTATACTTACCTATATTTTGTAGAATATCTAAAAACAAATGATTTATTTTACAAAGGAAAAAATAAATTATTTTTAAATCAGATTTGAGAAAGTTTAGTCCAATATTGTGTACTGAACAAATGATGGTTAATTTTATGTATCAACTTAACCAGTATATAGTGCCCAACTGTTTTATCAAAATCTGTATTAGATGTTGCTATGATGGTACTTATATCTGTGATAAATACTTTTCAATCAGCTGCCTTTAAGCAAAGCAGGTTACTCTGCCTAATTTGAATGAGCTTCATCCAAACAGTTGAAGGCCTTAAAAACAAAAACAAAGTTCACAAAAAAGAAGGGATTCTGCTTTAAAATTATAACATAGAAATTTCCCCTGCGTTTCTATCCTGTTGGCCTATCCTGTGGATTTTGGAGTAAAGCCTACAGCATCTTATCTGAGTTTCTAGCCTGCTAGCTTTCCCTGAAAATTTCAGCTTTGCCGGCTCCTTAGAAGTGTGTGTGTGTGTGTGTGTGTGTGTGTGTGTGTGTGTATTCTGTTGGTTTCATTTTTGTGAAAATCCCCACTTTTAGTACCAAGAATTGTACAGTGGGAACATAATCATAACTGTAAATTTCAGGATTTTGGAATTATTTTTCCAATTTGATTAAAGCAAGACAATAATGATTATTTCCACTATTAAAGAGAACACTGATAGTCTGTGTCATAGCGATACACGAGGGGCTCACAAACAAACCTGCCATGGTAGCAGAGATGGCCTCAGCTACATGGATTCTTATTCAGAAGCTAAGCTGTTGATAGCCATGGCTGAGTGCCCAATACATCAACATTAAAGACCAAGAATAAGTCCTAAATATAGTACCATTCCCCCAGAGTAATCAGACAGATACCTGAGGGAAGGTTGATTTCACTGGACTGCTTCCATCATGAAAGGGGCAACATTTTATTTTTACTAGAATAGACACTCACTCTGAGTGAGCTTCATCCAAACAGTTGAAGGCCTGAAAAG